AAAAGATCGCCCAACCAGCTGGAATATGCTCTTTGCAGGTCCCAACACTAGAGCTCATGAGTTCAAGGAAGTAGGTCAAGAGAAGTATTAAAAAAAAATAACTGGGGTTGGGAAGGTGGCTCAGTGGTAGAGTACTTGCTTTGCATGCATGAGGTCCTGGGTTCCATTCCTCAGCACCACATAAGCAGAAAAAGCTGGAAGTGGCGCTGTGGCCAAATGGTAGAGTGCTAGCCTTGAGCTGAGTCGCTGAGGGACAGCGTCCAGGCCCAGAGTTCAGGCCTTGAACCGACAAAAAATAAACAAAAAACAAACAAACAAAAACCCAGATTGGTAAACGGGAAACCACAAAATAGGAAAGGAGAGTATTATGCAATAAAGTTTTCTACTCTGTTTATTATTATGGCCTAAAAATGCTTTTATTATTATGGGCTCTATTAAAAACTTGTGAAATCAAATTTAACGTTATTACATATTTAAGTTATTCCAACTTTTCATCATTAGAAACATTCCAGAGTTGCAAAAAGTGATTCACAGTGAGCTAGAAAAGAAACATCAAGGAGAGGGGGAATTTTCAAAAGTCTTTTAGGAAAAAGACTAATATATGCAAACATTTTTATTCTGTGTCCCCTTCTGGATTGTACAACTTGAGCACCAACATAACAAACCTTGTCTCGAATTTGTTCTGCAGCCCCCATTCATTTTATTTAAAAAAATTGAAATATACTGCAATAAAAGACCACAACTTTGTTTAACTTTTGACTAGTGAAAATAAAGGGGTTTAAGGCTAAAAGGTTTTACTATAAACAGTGGCAATTACAAAGGAATTATAGGAGTTTGTCTTATTAGAGCAAATTCTAAAACTATTTCTATCAAAATGTTTTGTGCTGGTAATATTATTGTATATATTTTAAAAACATCTAACTCTTAAAATTATTTGAAGCTGGGTACCAGAGGCTGTAATTCTACCTACTCAGAAAACTGAGATCTGAGGATCATGATTCAAAGCCAGCTGGGATAGTCTGTGAGACTCTTTTTTTTTTTTTTTTGGGTCCAGTCGTGGGGCTGAACTCTGGGCCTGGGCACTGTCCCTCAGCTCTTCAGCTCAAGGCTAGTGCTCTACCACTTGAGCCACAGCGCCACTTCCAGCTTTTTTCTTTTTCTGCTTATGTGGTGCTGAGGAATCAAACCCAGAGCCTCATGCATGCAAGGCAAGTGCTGTACCACTGAGCCACCTTCCCAGCCCCGTCTGTGAGACTCTACCTCCAATTAACCACCAAAAAGCCAGAAGTGGAGCTGCGGCTCAAGTAGTAGAGTACTTCTTGCTTTTAGCATAAAGGCTCAGGGACAGTGCCCTGAATTCAAGCCCTAGGACTAGTGCAAAAAAAATTAAGATATTTTGTGATTTCTGTTTGGAGATAGGGTCTTGCTATGTAGCTCAGGCTAGTCTTGAACTAGGGATCCTCCAGCCTCCATCTCCCACCACCCAGCCCAGGTAAGATATTCTTGAATTTGACTAATATACTCAAGTATTCTTAACTAGCAAGATTCATCTTCAAAAAATTACATATTCACTTTATGTTTTTACTTTAATGCTATTGTTATTAATCATATTTACTTAAAATATTTTCTTTAAAATATTAAGTTATAAAGTCTTCCTTATTTTCTTAAAGACCACATTTTCTTCTAACATTCTTACCTCTCCATTTTTACGTAGTCCCATAGATTATTACTTAAAAAAATAGGGATAGCATAATACTAAGATATATCATGTAGGTCCAGCACTAAACCAAATCAATTTTAGCAGTGGTAATTCTCCTTAGAGAACCACTTTCTAGACAAGGAAGACAAATGCCTGCAAACACAGTAAATCTATTCATAATATCTAGCATCTTCAAGTCGAAGCAAATTTTGGGGTACCTCACTTCTTTTCCATTTCACAGATTGCTTTAGTGAGAAACAATACCAACAGCCAACAAAGCTTAAAGGAAAAAAACCACCACAAATTTCAAAATAATGCTGTTAGTATAAAAAAGAAAGGTTGACACATCTCAAAGCATGTCTCTCCACCGTCATGCAGCTACCCATGAGGGTTAAAGCCCAATGTCCAGTATTTAAATATTTGATCTTCACAGATCAAGCCAGGACTTGAAATCATCTCAACGTGCAACAGTCGTTTTTGCATAGCACCCCATTTTATCCATGCCACAAAAATGGTAAATTTAGTAGTTACCAATAAATATGTTGGGGAGGGGCAAAGAGACTAAAGCCTTAGACTGTTCTTTATCATAAGATATCCTCAGACAAACCTCCCCATTCTTCATTCTGGCTCTATAAAATTAAGGAGTAGAGAAAAACTGGTTAAGTGCCCAACTTTACAGAAAAAAAGCCACACTACTACTTCCTTTGTCATGTGTGTGTGTCTATAAAATAAATCAAATTGCATTATTCCCCACCTTACCCACACACAATCTAGTTCAGAATGGGTATGTGGGGGGGGGAGAGAAATAATCCCAACATTGCATAAAGTATCAATTTAGTAATCTTAGCATGTCATACCTTAATAATTTAAGAATCAACTGTAGTGCCGGTGGCATGTTAAGATGACATGTTCTAAATGTTAATCAAACATGAAAAATTGGATAATTGGCCAATTTCAGGACTTCCCTCCCAAATCTAATTATGTATTCATACAACCAAATAACAAAAGGAATAAAATTCAGCCTACAGATGCTAAAAATAGTTCTTTGTATATCAAGTAATTAAGCAGAAGGAAAAAATGTGTTATTATTAAATCATGTCTACTGATCTGTTAGTAATTATTATTTAAATCATAATTATTTTATGCTCTTATTACTAACCATAATGTACTAACAGAAAATCAAGTTTAGCCACTGACCATCTACTCTCTTTGCCAATAAAGATGAAAGACTATAACACATCTCATTAAAACAAATTGAGTAAAGGAAAAAATCTCAAGAAAGTTTTCTTATAGAAAATTTTGTCTTATAGAAAGGCATAGTTCTCAATTTAAACATTAATTAAAACCAAAATTATTTTATGATTTGCAGATACTTTTAGCCAACAGATATACATTCTTTGTAAATTCAAAGTCATTTTTAGAGCTTAGAAATAATCCAAATAAAAAACTCGACGCTATCTAGAAAAGTCAGTACACATGAAAGATTAAATTAAAAATCAATTAGTCTTTCTACTACAAATTTAAGGCTTTATTTACATTTTTACAAGCAAAATCACTCCACAGAACATTAACTAACTTAACACTATATCCTGAACTATAAGACCTAAAGCTGCTATTATAGATGTAGGCTTTTTAATAAGTACAACAATAAATGATTTAAGATAATATTTATATCTATCTACATTTCCAATACTGTGGACAATAAGAATTCATTGCCTAAGAAGTCATATATGACATATACTCTTTCAGTAACATTTTTGTCCCCTAGTGCATTAATATTTAATAATGCTACCAGGTATTAACAGCATCATTGAGGTATTATAAAGTTGCAATTTCCCAGTAGTACTTAAAAAATAATACAGGCACAGGAGATATCAGTGCCCTATACATTTCTCTCTAGGAAACATATTACAAGCAAAAGTTGAACAGCAATGACTTTAAAAATGCTTTATTAAAAGCAAATGTAGTTAACCAGAAAATTAGGGAATATTTGCATGCTGGCTTCTGAAAGAAAGAGGGTTGTCAACACTTCACATTTGTAGGTACCCTAACCACCCTTTTAGTAAATGTAAGAGATCATTAAATGCACAGTGTTTTCTAACAGCTGTTTATACTCTAAATGATGTTATTTTGTAGTCCCTACAACTTACTGGTGCAGGGGATATCCCTACTAATTCCTTCCTTCTCACCAAGAATAACAGTAATACAATTTCACTGGAAAACTAGTTACCTTTCTCCTGTAATTTTGTTCTCTTAAAGCTTGTCATTGCTGTAATAAGAGAAATGCTTAAAAATGAATCTAAAATCTGCTTTAGCAATTAAAAAAGAGCAAACTGATGAACAAATATGTAATGCACAAGAAGAGGCTAAAGTAAGCTGGATATAGAAAATGATCATTTGTTTCTGCAAAATGAACCTGTGTTCAAGGCGTTTTCTATATATGCACATATACTTAATACTTAATGTAAGCATACTATGTTTTGTATATTTACTAAGCTCTTCTCATGCTGTAAACTTTCTATAAGACAGCAGTCATAGCTAGCTCATTATAATCTAATTTAGTACCTAAATCAGAGTATCATCAAAATTTAAATTTCAGAACTAGAAAGTATATAAGCATTGAACCCATGACCAGCAAAGGATGACAGTGGCAATTAGAAAGGGAAAGGTTTGTTACGATTCTGGAATATGGAGGTTAAGAGAAGAAGATAAAAATGTTGACAGAAAATAGTTTGTTATTTATAAAGAACAAAGAGAAATACAAATGACTTTTTTGTGTGTTTTGCTAACACAAAATCAGAGAAGTCCGCAGAAAGTCTAATTTGAAAACACTACCATTTGCTTGGCTACATTTACACTTAATGGACATGAGGTGAAAATATGAATCAATTTGGAATGAAAATGCCAGAATTTCACAGTCAACTTCAAATTATCCACACTAATGAAAAATGTATTGATCTCAAGTGACTCCACACAATGGATGGAGAGTTCTCAACTTATTGTTACTTTTGTCCAATCATTTCCTTCCTTATGATAGGTTAGAAAATAGTGTTTTAGGGCCCCAAAATGGGCTATCCAGAATAAGCCGGACTGATAGAGTATTTTGAAAATGAACTATCCATCCATAGATAACTGAGTTGATGTGACTGACACATATTCCAATCAATAAATTGCACATAGACACTACACATGCCAAGCATGCTGAAACTACTGAATGATTCGGAAACCAAGAATGATCATTGAGACTTCCCTAGCAAGAGCCAAACATGCTACTGTCTAGAGAGAAGAACAAGTAGCTTACCTCTTGCAGTAGATCAGCTTGTTCAATTGCTTTAAGGACATTTTTCTTGGATGTCTCCTGCACTTCCCCTCCCAAAAGAAACTCATCCAAAATAAAATAAGCCTTCTCAAAATTAAAGATAATATCAAGTTCACACACCTGAAAAGCAAATCAATAAATAAGGCCAAAATGCAGAAGCCTGTTAAACTTTTAAGCCAAAGATGCTGATTCATGATCAGGTATGGAATAAAATGTAAGCAGAGAGAATCAATCTTAATTCGTTCTGAAAGTGGCAGTCCTGCTAAGCATCATTGATTTCAGTAAGTTTAATTTTCAAATCTCAAGTATGTGAAAACACAATGCCTCTAAGATAAACAGGTCCCACAACTTTCCTCCCAGCATAAATTAATAATTTCTTTTTTTTTCTTTCTGGTCTGGTCATGGGGCCTGAACTCTGGGCCTGGGCGCTGTCCCTCAGCTCTTCAGCTCAAGGCTAGCACTCTACCACTTGAGCCACACTGCCACTTCCGGCTTTTTTTTTCCTGCTTATGTGGTGCTGAGGAATCGAACCCAGGGCCTCATGCATGCAAGACAAGGGCTCTACCACTGAGCCAACTTCCCAGCCCTAAATTAATAATTTCTGACTCATAACTTAGGTTTTAAAACATATTTCCTTGATAATGTGATTGAACTGCTAACAGAATCTGAATTCGATACAAAGTTTCAGAATATTAATGTGTGCAGTAAGACTCTTCTCTATCTTACTAGAATTCATTCACATCATAATTAAATGTAGATGTGAAGGGCCAGCACTCATGGAAGTTAAGTGATCAGATGTCATGTCTTTTCCCCGTATTTAGAATCTTCAAGACAACTAAATGATACATTTTTGGGGAAAAAGATGAACAACAAAATACTACTCACACTCCCAAAGTACTTGTCAAGTAACTCCACATAACGATGGATTATTTCCAGGGTAATTAGTTCATTGTCCTGATCCTCAATTGCACAGCAGAAATACAGACTAGCATATCTACAATAAAACACAAATGGGGAAAAACTATTACACTAGCATCACACTTTCTAAAGACATTTTCATGTCCTGCTAGAAAGGCCTGGTGCTATAAGCAGGTTTATTTCTTCTTTTACAATAGCACATCATTTGAATAGCTTGTATGTAATAAAATACAAATATGGAACACATGTTTCCCCAATCATCACGTATTTTAAATATATTTTCATGGCCTACTGTTAAGACTTCATGCTATTATCATACTTGTTGTTCTCCGATACTACGAAAGTAATAGCACATAAGAGAAAAATTTAAAAGCATAGGCAGGCCAAAAGAAAGAAAAATTACTTAATCATATCACATAGAAAAACCAAGCCCATCTATGTACCCTTATCAAATCACAGAAGAGAACAAACGCTAAGAATCTTAGCTACTTCGCCCGTACCCTCTTGCAGTTACAATCTCTTACCTCTAGGGGGAACCACCACCTTACTTTTTAACAGTATAGCATTTTTTTTTTTTAAGATTTCTAGGATTACAAACTTCAAGAACAGATTCAAGTAATTTAGAAGTTAGAAACAAAGTACATAAAGTTATTATCAGTTCAGAAAAACTGAAACCTGTCCTTAAAATGTCCAAGCTCTATACTATTGAAATGTATTACACCAGAAGGATGAATAAGGCTAGGGAATTCATTTTGTCTTCAAATTAGGATTCTGATACATGGGACTGGGTCCTGCTTGACTAAAAAATAACAAAAACAAACTTATTAATGAACAACCTTATGATTTAGCAAGCCCTTTGAAGGAGACTGAAGGAGTTGGTCTAAGGAGCACTTAAACACAATAGATAAGTACTACTCATAAAATTAGTGTAAAATAATATACAGAAAACCACACCCAACCTGAGTTTAAGGATTCAATGAATTCCTGCCTTTTGCTATAAAGATAGCCTCAAATTTATACAGCAACAATAATTTAAATATTATCAAAAACACTTTGATGTGATTTTTTCCCGATGCTGAAGATGGAACCTAGGGCCTTGTGCATTCCAGGCAAATCACTCTACCATGGAGCTACATCTCTAGTCCTTGTTTTGGAAATGGTCTCACTATGCAGCTCTGGCTGGCTATGAAGTTGGGATCCTCCTGCCTCTGCTTCCCAAGGAATATATACTACTACATCTGGTTTCTATTTGCTCCTTTCAACAGCAAGTAATCCTTGATAACAGATGTTTTTTTTTAAAAAAATCAAGGAGTCCAAAGGACTACTAGGATGAAAAATACAATCTCCTACCTTCACTTAAAATCCAGGCCACTTTCTACCATACTAATTCTTGTGCTATATATTATCTTTTTGGGTATTTTAACTTATTTAATATTCAGTAAGTTATTTAAAATTGTGGCTCTTCCATAGTAGAAATGTAAATGTATCTTCTTTTTTTATGTATCTGTTATGTGTGTGTGAGAGGGAGGGAGGGAGGGGGAAAGGGGGAGAGAGAGAGGAGGGGAGAGAGGGAGAGAGGGGGGAGAAAGAGGGGAAGGGAGAGAGGGAGAGAGGGGGGAGAAAGAGGGGAAGGGAGAGAGGGGGGGAGGGGGAGAGTGAGTGAGAGAGAGAGAGAGAGAGAGTGTGTTTGGGGGCCTGAACCAATGGTCTAAGCACTGTCCTTTAACCTTTTTTTTTTTTTTCTCAAATCTGGCATTCTACACTTGAGCCATAGTTCTACTTCTAGCCTTTTGGTGGTTAATTGGAGATAAGAATCTCATGGATTTTCTGGCCTGGCCTCAGCTTTCTGTGTAGGTAAGATTACAGACATGACGCACTAGCACCCAGCAAGTTCATGTATCATCTTTAAGGGAATAAACATTGTGCCAAACAAAATATGGCACCACCTCCAAATTTAACAAAGTGCTTCCTCTCTTTCCAGTCATTACCCAATTTTTGTTTATATGATTAAAATGCAATGGGATATTCTAACTGTTCATTCTCCCTAAGCTAGACTCTTTAATAGAATTTGGAGAAATGGATGCAAATGATACATAAGATTTCCTGAGAAAACTAAAAGTGACATAAAAATGGTCGAAGAAAACCAGACACGACTAGCTCAAATGAACAGAATGCTAGATAACTGTATTACAGAACTTACTAATTTCTGAGCAAAATTATTTATTTTTAAGATTTCCCTAATGCTACTATTGGACAATCCAATGTGTCTACCATCCTTGCTTTTTATCCATAGTACTGCTTCTTGCAAATAAACAGTACTTAGTCAGCTGCGGGGGACTCAGGCCTGTTATCCTTGCTACTCAGAAGACTGTGATCTGAGGACTGAGGTTCCAAGTCAGCCAGGGAAGACAAATCCCTGAAGCTGTCATCTCCAATTCAGCAGTAAAAAGTCAGAAATAAGAGGTATAGTTCAAGTGGTTGAGTTCCAGCCTTGACAAGTGAAAATGTGAGGCTCTGAGTTCAATCCCCAGTACTGGCCACAAAATAAAATAATAAAATAAATGGTGCTTAAGAATCAAAGGTCCTAAGTTATGCAACTTAAAAACATGGATGTAAAATCATCAAGAAAACCAATATTATTCTTAGAAATGTAAAACTTCCCCCGATACTATCTAATTTTCTGTTGGTTTATTTTCAGTGGTGGGGATTGAAGTCAGGGCCTAGCATATGCTATCACTGCATTATACTCTCAATGTTTACTTTTGCCAAGAATGGAAAAAGAGCCATCAAATTAAAGAATTCTTCCTTTGAAGTGAACAGATAATAATCAGGGTGCTAAGAACACCATTTTTCAGAAAGAATAAAAGCACAGTAAGTGGTACTACTGACTCAGTTCTCAACAGAAGAACTCAATGCTAGCTGTAGGTTTTACATACTTTACCATTTTAATCTTCAAAACAACCCTATAAAGGATACCATTATTATTTGCAGGCTTGAGTAACCTGCTCAGAACATAAATTTGACCCAAGAGCCCAAGTTATACATATAAAACCACTGTTACTAAATATATTAAAATAATATTGAGCTTGGCACAACAAAATGTACTCAAAGCAATACTTTAAGAGCTTTGAAAAAGTTAAAACAAAGTCATACTGATTTAGTAAAAGATTACCAAGAGAGCATGAATTGTACTCCCTATTTTTAGGATGAAATGGTTCTTAAAAATGAAATAATGAGTTCATTTTTTCCTCTTAGTGCATATTTGTAAGTCTAAATCTGAAATAAAATTAATAATAGACTAGTAAGAAGAAAGGTATGTTTGGTTATTTTTAGCACAGTGGATTAAGGCTTACTCTAATTACTGGCACTCAGAGAACATTTGAAAGTGCCTATTCTTACATTCAAAACACATGACTTCTCTGCAGTCAGCTAAATATCAGCTGACCATAGATGAACATAGCTAAAATGTTCTCAATACCCACTGGTATGTCATTAAAAATTCTTTTGTTAGTAAAGAAAATCAATAAATACCCTTCAAGAAAATTTCAATCTAGTAACTTGAGGATGTATGCATTTTTATATTAAAAGGCTTTAATTCAAGGATTCTTCCATAAAATGCTGAAGAGAATCAGAAAAGCAGGCACTATTCTGTCTTCAAGGGATCTTCAAGAGTATTTATTTTAGAGTTGAGGTTCAAGGTTACAGAACTAGCTAATGGCACAGACAGATCTTAAACCTTTAGATGTTCAGTCTGCTTCCAACTGTGTTATCCTTGTCCCCTTTCCTCTCCCTCTCTGAAGGGGAAATTTGTATACTTAAATACTCAAGATGAAGCATTTTGGATGCTGTGATGAAGATGACATATAAAACAGTTGCTGATACAAACAGCAAAAGTATCAGTTCAGAATTTCTCAGGAGCTAAGCAGCAATTCTCTGGCTTTAATGGTCTTTTCTTCCAGATGGAGCAAGAGAAACAAATCACCTGCTAATATTAACAAAACAAGATGCCATTAGGTGGTAAAAAGATGAGGCTTTCAGTATGAAATAAAGGAAATAGATAGAAAAATACGAAACATTCCATCTTTTGTATATGAAATATCACAATAAAGATGTGATTTTTATTTCTTAAATCTATTTAAAGGGGCTTTGACAAAAGTGTCATCAGGTTTGTTTTACCTTTACCTTTTCCCCCCGCTGTGTGTATGGGCTTACCCTGTGTGTACTGGGGCTCGAACTCAGGGTCTCATGCTTTTGCTTGGCTTTGTCTCGGAAGACTGGCACTCTACCACTTGAGTTACACCTCCACTTCCAGTTTTTTGCTGGTTAACTGGAGATAAGAGTTCCTTGGCTTTATCTGACAGGACTATCTTTGAACTGCAATCCTCAGATCTCAGCCTCTTGAGTAGCTTGGATCACAGGCATAAGTCACTAGCACCTGGCTCCGTGTGTGTGTGTGTGTGTGTGTGTGTGTGTGTGCGCGCGCGTGCGTGCGTGTGTGTGTGTGTGTGTGTGTGTGTGTGTGTCCTGAACTGAAGGGTGCTGTCCCTGAGCTTTTGTACTCAAGGATAAATAACACTGCACTACTTGAGCCACAGCTCCACTTCTGGCTTTTCTGTGGCTTAATAGAGTAAGAGTCTCATTGACTTTCCTGCCTAGGCTGGCTTCTCAGTGCTCAGATCTCAGCCTCCTGAGTATCAGGGATTACAGGTGTGAGCTCTGGGCACTTGGCTCCCTTATAACTCTAGACAGGGAGAGACCCAGTGGCACCAACCTGCTCTTTCCCTTTTTTCTTTTAACAGCTCATTTGTGGGCTGCTCTTCCTGGGATTTTCCTCCTCCACACCAGGGACTCTTTTGAGTGTCTAGAAATAAACTTAAGCCTCTCATACCTATTTTTGAATCTGTCCCCAATCCATGTCTATGGGTGGTTACTACCTCTTCTGGCCTCCACACAGTGAAGTTCCCCAAAATAGGCGACACATGCTGTTTCACTAGCGCTTAAGGCTTCACGCTAGTACACAAGAGGTCTGTCTCTACTACTCCACTGAAAATGTTCCAGCAAGGTGCACTTGATGAAATGCTACCATAAAATGTAATAGTCTTCCTTCACTTTCATTGAACTTACATGACATCTGACATTAGTGCTTGCTTTCCAAACTCTTACTTCCCTGATTTTACTAATATAATATTTACCCTTTGGTTTTCATTCTACTCTGTAGGTCCCTTCTTAATCCCTTCTGCTTGCTACTTAAAAGATGATTTATTCACTCATGTCTAATTGTCTCCTGAATGACTATACTACCTACATACCATCAGAAAGCCAGGAATCTCTTAACAGAAGTTACACCGGCATCCTATAGTCAAATTAGCTGGGTGCTCTAACTTACTACTCACCGCTCTTGGCCAAATTTGAAATGTGGGGATAAACTCACTCCTCCCCTTCCTTAGCTGATCTCCCCACTTCTAGGGATGACCAAGCCTTATCAAACTTCCCTAGGTAACAGCTCTTTTCCAGCCTCTAGTTTCAGAATCTCAGTATTGTGCAGTCCCCTGCTGATCCTGCAGGGACCAGTCTTAGCCCCATGGCTCCCTCACCACCATCTTGCTGCACTCTTTTCAGAAAGGCAAATATAATCTTTTTAAGCCCCTATTTTAAACCTTTATTTCCACACTAGGGATTTGAGCTGTAGCTCTGTATCAATCATTAGCATGTCACCTTGGACACATCACTATTCCCAAATTCTCCTTTCTTAAAATACTGAAAATTAGCTGGGCGCTGGGGATTCATGCCTGTAATCCTAGCTAGTCAGGAGGCTGAGATCTAAGAATTGTGAAAGTCAACACTGGCAGGAAAAGTCTGTGAGACTTTATCTCCAAATGACCACCAAAAAAACCAGAAGCTGAGCTGTGGCTCAAGTGGCAGAATGCTAGCTAGCCTTGAGTGAGAAAGCTCAGGGACTGTGCCCAGGCCCTGAGCTCAAGACCCAGTACTGGCACCAAAAAATAAATAAAAATAAAAAAAATAAAAAATAAATTGAAAATCAGGAATTATAACCTATGCAGATGGTTGAGGCCAATTGAGCAGGGGGACAGAATGTCTCTGTTTTCACAAGAGCAGTTCCATTTATTGCTAATTTTGATTAAGGTTCTAACCCTGGGCAAAGATTATTCTAAGATGTCTCCCAGCTCTCCAAAACTATGATTTTTCTAAGCAAATATTACAGTAAAGACTAGACACAGAATCACAAAACTGATTAAAATTATTCTATAATAAAGATAATTACACAGTAATTGGGAAACTATGTCCTTAAATCTCCATTTGCTTCTTCTGCAACCTCCTCCATCAAAATCCCTTGAAGTACAAAATATTGAAGTACAACAAGAAAAGAAAAAAGAAAGCCACTTTTCTCCCCACCTTGCATTCCATACTGCTAATTCTCTGCATACTTTCCATACAAGATAATTTTTAAAAATATTTTTATTGTAAAGATACTGTACAGAAGGATTACAGTTACATGAGTAAGGTAACGAATACATTTTCTTTTGAGCGTTGTTACCCTTCCTTTGTTTTCCCCCTACTATCCCTTCTCTCCCCACCTCTACAATTCCTCCCTCCACCTCCAAGTTGTAAAGTTTGTTTTCAACATATTGTCTTCTATGTCTCATTGTTACAATGAGTCAAACTGTATTCTTGTTTCAGCATTTTATTATTTCCCTTCCCCTCCCCAATTAGAAAAATGAACACACAAAATGCAGGGCACTGGAATCAAATACAGTGACAACAGGGCTTATACCATGGGGGAAGAACATACAAAAGAAACAAAAAAAATCACATAATACATTAAAAACAACAGTGACAAAGAAAAAAACCTCTATCTTGGGGTTCATTTCGCTTAGCATCATCTTATATGGTCATATGACACAGCTTTTGACCTTTTCTGCTTGTCTGGTTAAGATTATCCTAGACATATACTAGTTATTGCAAATAAGGGAAACCATGGGACCCATGTTTCTTTGGGTCTGGCTTACTTCACTTAACATAATTTTTTCCAAGTCTATATGCAGAAATGCTGTTTAATACAGTAAGTTATTAAAAAGGAAACTGAAATGAGGAAGAAACAGATAAATGTTCCCTAAAAAGTTTCTTGTAAGGAAGAAATTATTTTTCATTTAACTTGCTTGAAATAATCTTGAGAAACTTAAGGTTGTCACAGTTTCAGATACCGATAAAATAAAAATGTGTAGAATTTTTCTTAAACCTCAGTGTTAAAAGACCAACCTATGATACCCTTTGCAACATCAAAATTTTAAGAAACTCTATCCTTGGTAAAATATCTATCATATCTCAGCATACCACCACCACAGCAACAAGTGTATTTCAAATTAATAAACATCCTGTATATACACAAAGTTTTTAAGCATCTGTATAATTGAAATGGTCTATGTTCCTAAAATATTTATATTCAAGGTTCTAAATGTCACATAGAAGGCATGTTAAATACTAGATATTACTACACAGATTTGTGGAGAGAAAGGATTAGACACTATGCTTGCCTGAATTCAAAAAATTACTTACATAATTTAAAATACTGACCCTATTTGCCCCTGCAATAAAATGAATTCACTGATTTTTTCTATAAGATGATTAAGCATAGTCATTTGCCTTCAATTATGTAATTAGATTTAAAATGGATTTCCTTGATGTTATCATTTTAGCATGAGCAAGCAATCAAAAAGAGCAGTTATTTGAAAACACAAAGCTTTCTTTAAGCCTAGTTCATCTAAATATTTATTAATCATTATTTATACATATCATCACTCTGCAAATTTCCCCATTATAAAAGACCCAACATTTGATTCCATTTCACCCGTGTGATAAATAAAAATTATACCTTTTGTAAACAATCTTTAGATCTCGCCATTCAAGGAAGCTGCACATTTTCGGTTTGCGTGCTAAGACGGTTTGAACAAGTTCTCTTGTGATCTTTTTCTTTTCTTTGTCTGACAGTGGGACATACCATTTCTGCAGTCGAAGCTTTCCCTGGCGACTAAAAAGCAACATAAACTGCATCTGTTAAGATAAAGAAAATCTAGATTACACACAATACTTTGAATCAATAGCAAAGATTAACTATTTCTCAGAGAAGCTTTGGGGGCAGGGCATTTGAAACTCAGAGATGGATTCCTAACCTTTAAAAACACTATGCCAGTTATAATAGCAGGAAATTCTTTTAAAGTCTTCCTACTAAATGCAAACCTTTCCTTCCCTTCCCACCCTACTCCAGCCCACATACAATTGGAAGGGAATGTGTGGAAATTAAAGACAGAACAAAAACAAAAAAAAAAGGAAATAGGTAGTAAGTTAGAGTGAAATTTCTGAAGAAACAAGGTAGCTGTGGTCATTTAAGAAACTATTTTCTACCAGTTCCACACACTTTCCACTCCAGATATGCATCAGAAGAACTGCAGACATCAATTGGTTGAGGAGTATTTGGAAGAAACAGGAAGATCTATGATTTTTTACCCTGAAGTTGTTCTAGTTTCAGGCTGGATTACTAGCAGACTGACTACTTATCACTCAGAATTCTCTTTTCAATTAACCTGAGTATATTTCAAGCAAACCTGAATGGTATAACATAAAATATTAAGCAATAAGCATGTCATAAATGTACGTGTTTCTTAACAAAAGCTTGATTTTTGATGTATGTATCTCATATATAAAATTTGCAACACAAATACCTACTCAAGAAAGATCTGAGTTACTTAATCTGAGAAAATAAAAATGTTAAAAAGTCACAATGAATTTACTATATATATATATTCAGACATATTATATGAACTATGATAAACAATAAAAATATTTAAAACTGTAAAAATAGCACTTACAGATGAAGTGGATGACAAGTTGGAGTGCATTTTACACAGAAGCTTATTGGTATGGATGATTTATTTGGAATCTGTAAGTCTGTTGATTATTCTACACATTTTTCTTTCAAGGGAAGCATTTTGTGATTAACCTGGTCATCTCAACTATGTATAGAAGTATTCTTTCTACAGAGATAACTTAAAAGCAAAATGCAGATAGGTATTTTCTTTTCTTTTAACCTTGTAACTTCCTTTAACAATGTCAGCACAAGTCAGAGTCAAGCTTGATGGTTTGTATTCACCACACCATCTTGAATTTGAGCACCGGGGAGGGTGAGTTTACACAAACCAATGCATAAAATAAAATGGGCTCGAAATTTCGGCATGAAATTACTGTCGCTTTTTTTCCCCCAATAACCCAGAAAGCCATCTAGAAGATAACTGGCTATTTATGAGGCGGCAATTTAACTTTCATAAAGTTCAAATGACCTTATTAATGTACTAAACATGCACGAGTAGCACAAAAATACACGGATATTATTCAGTGATACCAAAGTGCTTCACACATAAGTCCGGAAGATAGCAGCATCCACCAGGGACAGACAGCAAGTGAAGTAGCAACTAGACATTTAATCAAACCCGTTAGCAGAACTTGGAAAAGAATGAACCCCGGATTTCTGGACTTTGGTAGGCAGAAGGAATGAGGGTTAGTCATCAGTGGGCTCGAGGCTTTGGGGAACAGGGTCCTGTATCCAGCCTAGCACTTTGTAGGACGAGAAATTAAAAAAAAAATCAATCCAAGATCTGCTCTGAAAATAAATGATGTGTTATCATGGGACGAAACCTGGTGGTTCAGACCCAAGTATTTCTTTCCTCTCGTTCAAAACCCCGTGCTTTGATTTGGCCGCAAATTACAGAGCACCACGATTCCCCGCGACTGGTATGAAAACAAAACAAACAAACAACAACCAAAAAACAACAACAATGTGCTCAGACTTAAAAAGAGTGGGCTCCGGTCCAGCGATCTTCATCTTCGGATCCCGCTATCTCTGTTCCCCCAGCCTCTGCCGGGGCCACACTCCATCACTGACCGAGCCCAGGAGGTGATGGGCAGAGAGCTAGCGGAGCAGACAATGGCATTCGCCGCCGCGCAGGGGGCGCCAAGAGTCCTCGGCCGCCGCCGCCCCGGCTCGCCGGCCCCTCCCCAAAACGCCCCGCAAAACTTAAGGCGATTCCTGAACCACAGGTGCCGCGGGACTCCCGCGGAGCCCACGAGCAGCCCCCAGCCGCAGCCAGCGCCACGCGGAGTGGTGCGCGCGGCGCGGACATGGATAGAAGTGAGTTGCGGGGCGCCGCGCCCCACTGACGGGCCGGGCGGGCTCGGGGTGGGGTCCTCGAGGTGCGCGCGGGGCGACGGGGGGCGCGCCCCACCATCGCTCCGCACTTCCCAGGTCCGGCACCTCCGCGCGCCCTTTGAGACTTACAGCGGCAGCTGATCGTGGACCTGACGGAGCTTGACCGGTGGCGGCTGAGGGGAAGCCCCGGTCGCCGTGCTGTGGAAGCGAAGCCGTGTTGCCGTGGGGAGGGGATCCACTTCGCGGAGGGACGGCTTAAGTGGCGAGGGGAGGGCGAGTCAACAGACCCCGCCCCGGAGGCTGGACCAGGGAGGAGCTGGGGCTGCGGCGAGCGGAGGGGCGGGCTAGGCGACTCTGGGGAAGCAGCACTACGGTAGCCAACAGCTCCGAAGGCATAACGGCTCTTGCGTAATCTGAGAAAGCTCATTGGTTCTGTCGCCAACATGAGGCGGGGTGATCACCGGAAACCAGGACACGTGACCCGGAAGCCGCTTCTGCCTCAGCCAGCGCGCCTGCGTATTCCTGCTGGTGTCTCCGGATCGCTTGAGGGCAGCTGCCCTGGCTCTTTACTGACAGTTGGAAGGAATTCCGCGGCGCCCTTAGCTGACCCGATGGTGCAGGGCAGGGTAGGACAGGTCCAAACTGCAAAGAGCCAACCAAATTCTAGTTCGCGTGACACTCAGTCCCCCAGGAGGGTAGAGCGGGGAGGTGGGAAGGGTCGATGGTGATGGTAGGTGGAGAGGAGCTACAACTCTGGGGAAAACAAGTCAGCTTTTTCCGTGGAGCTCATGCTGGCATTCACAGGGAGGCCCCTCCTTCCTAACGCACTGCTGCAGCTCCAGCTCAGACGCTTCTCACCCCAAGTCTTTTTTCCCTAGGCTTGCCTTGCTCATCTTCAGTGCTCAGGGCTAGATGAATTACTGTCTCTTCTCGGCTGAAAAGCTGAGACAGCACTTCGTCTTGGGGATCCCGCTACCTTCAGCCCCACCAGCCGCCTGAGCTGCAGTTTAGCCAACGATGCAATCTGCACGGTTTGTCCTTTCAAATGTCTCACCTATGAAGCCTCGCCCTAAAATGAACCCCTCTTTCACCTACGTGCCCATTGACCCTGATTTAGCATATCTCAGAATTTTTTTTGCCTTTCATTTTGCATCCTTAGCCAATTCCCCCCTTGGCTAGTAAGACTATACAATGATAGATTGGTTAAGTAATGCTGAGCCAGTACTGGACATATAATAGATGTTCATATTTTTTTGAATGAGAGAACGGAAGAATCATTTAGTTCAACTCATCTTTTATAGATAAGAGGAGAGGAGTCCCACGGGATTAGGTGACCTTGTTTGAACAGCCATGGGTTTCCCATGTCAAATGCTATTCATTACCCTAGTCACCTACGTTCTTACAAAGGAAGCTACAAAATTGCTTTTCTTGGCCATGCCCTCTTTTGCAGAGCTTACTAAACATAGTCGCCAGAATTTTTTTTAAATGACTAAGTATAAAAGAGATGCTAACATCTTCACGAAGCTAAGGTTACTCAATTTAAAAGAATCCTTTGTCAGAGATTATTATGTTCGTTGATTGAGTTACAATATCTGTAAAATGAAGATGATATACAATAGTAACTTGAGGACATTTTTGATGCCCTACGTGTCAAAATAAAGCATATATAATATCTCCTCCTTTCACTACTACTATGCTGTTTGGAAAGTTTTCTAACATGCATGATTAACGTATGCTGGAATATTGAAGTCATCCACAGAAAGCAGAGTTGGCTTGCTGTAGTTTGTTAGGACCCCAGCCCCAACTCCTCTCTATTTCCTGCCTAAATATGCTCCAAGGGTGCATGGCATTGTCCCATTTCTCCCTTACTACATGAAACACATGCCATTAGTTCAAAGATTGCTCTAATGTTATACAATGAAGTCTGACTTTTTGATTCCAAATGCTGCATCCTTTTCTCTTTCTGTTCAAAATGTATGTCCTCAAATTTCCTGAGATAGCCACTGCCAAGTTTAAACTCATTGTATGTGCTCCTAATGTTGGTCTGTGACTCTGAAAATGAGGACAGGACTTGCTGATGACATATTGGCAATCTCATCTCTGTGGTCTTAGCCAAAAACATGGGGGGGGGAGGGGGAAAGACAGAGGAGAAGGAATCATGGGAAAAATAATTAGCAGCTGAAAGCAGCTATTACATAATCTTGGCTGCTTATTAATTTAGCAGAAGGAATGGCTTATTAAATTCTAATACCAACAGCACAACTGCAAACAACCTAGCAATTAACAGTGCAGGGCCCATTATTTTGTTAATATGTTCTCTTTTGGCAAGTGTATGAGGACAAAATTTATAGAAGCAGATGGTCTTTTTCAGTAGATTATAGATGGTTTATTCCCCAGTCTTAGTATTAAGTGCTAATTGTGAATTCCCTATGAAAGACAAAAAAACCCCACAGTTGCCATCTTTGTTAGTAATTAACTGACATGACTTTGATTCCCACAATTACGAAATTGTAGGCTTTGTTATATCCATGTTTCTTCTCACCTAGTATCTTTCCCATCTGTCATGTCAATAGGGGATATATTTTTAATCTTCTATTTCTGTTTTTAGAATGATCCTGCTTTCTTTGTGTTAAAACAAAAAATTATAATATAAAAATAGGATTAAAAAAATTAAAAACCAGAGTATACACTTGTTTCTTAAAGCTCTTTACTGTCAGTTAAGCTAAATGCAGATTCAGGGTGAAATCAGGATTTTATTTCTTAACAATAAAAATTTCATATTCTATACAATCATCCAAAATTTTCAAAAATACTGTTCATTTCCTGATAACTATAGAATGGTCATATACTTTCATCTCCTCTTCCTCCCAAAACACCATTAAACCAAAAAAGGAAGGAAAAATGTTTAAAACATATCACTGAGTTGACAATGAAAAGGGTCATTAGGGCTGGGATATAGCTCAGTGGAAAAGCACTTACCTATCAAGTGCAATGTCCTGGGTTCAATCCTACTACAGGTTTTTTTGGGGGGGTTGTTTTGGTTTTTTAAAGAGGAAGTCATTAACACAAGGCTGTCAAAAAGGATCCAGTGTCATCGTGCCATTTCAATATTGAGGTTATAAACATTATGTGTAATAATGAAATAATGCTATCTTAAGTAAATCCAGAATTAGAATTATCAGCTTTTGCTTAGACACCAGGAAGTAAAATCCAAAAGCAATGATGAGCATCTTTCTAGGAACATAATCTTGAAGTAGGATTATAAAGGCAATTTTCTTTGTTTTATTTTTTAATATTTGTGTGTGTGTGTTTGTGTGTGTGTGTGTGTGTGTGTGTTTGTGTGTGTGTGTGTTGGTCCTTTGGTCCTGGGATTTGAACTGAGGGCCTAGTGCTGCCCTTGAGCTTTTTTACTCAAACGAGTGCTCTACCACCCAAGCCACAGCTCCACTTCTGGCTTTGGTGGTTAATTGAAAATAAGAGTTTTATGGACTTTCCGTCCCTGGGCTAGCTTTAAACTGGGACCCTCAGCTCTCAGCCTCCTGAGTACCTAGGATTACAGGTGTGAGCCACCAGTGCCCAGGTCTATGCAAATAAGTTTTAAAATAGTGTAGTGAAGTAGATTAAAAAAAACCATTCAGTTTCTTGATAACTGCATGTTGTAGACACTATAGAGTCCCTTTATCCAGTATATAGATTATTTAGAAACTATTACATAAAAATACCTATTAATGGCATTCAAGGCTTAGTGAAGTATATAAGGTATGCTCAAAAAGGGTACTTAGAATTTGTAAATTTTCATCTCCAAAGACAAAGTTGTTCCAAGGAGAAAACTAGCTTGAAATAATGAGAATTTGTGAACCAAATCATTTCAGAATAGATAGAGCTGTCACTGCCAAAGTCCTTAACAATGAACTAAACAGAAATGTAGAATATATTCTCTTTCTTTCTTGAAGCTTGTTTCCATACCTTTGAATAAAATACGGGAAAATTGCTACTCTCCTATTAATAATAGGTTATTCTCAACCAGGGCAATTTTGTTCTCCGGAAGACACTTGGCAGTGTCTATGTACATTTTGTTGATCACATCTGAGAGGATATGATGTTACCAGAATCTACTAGGTAGAGACCAGGAATTTTGCTCAGTGTCTTATGATGTATAGGATAGCTCCCACAACAAAGCATGGACCAGTTCCAACTGCTAGTACAGTTAGGGGTGAGCAAGTCTGGGTTAGTCCCTGAAAAGGTTAACCTGTTGTAACAGATCTTTTAGAGACATTTCAAGAAATAGAAGAAGTGCTTTCTTTTGGATTATTTGAGTGAGAAAGCTCAAGGACAGCGCTCAGGCCCTGAGTTCAAGCAATTTCTTTTGTTTTTAATTTTTAGTTTTTGATGATTCTCTTTTTTTTTTACCTTGTATATGGTGTATTCAAGAGTACAACTTGGAAAGGGTTGGGAGGAAGGTACAGAACTCAAGGGAAAAAGGATGAAAAAGTGCAACAGTGGTGCTCACTGGACACTGATAAAAGTGAACTATACAACTTGTGGGTAGAGACAGGAGGGAGGAATTGGGAGAGAGTTAGGGAAGGGAAGACACTGTATGAAAGGAAATGTACTCTGTACTCATTACTTGACTCATACCATTGTAATCCCTCTGTATATCACCTCTATAATAACAATAAAGTAAATTCATTAAAAAAACCCAAAAGCCAGAAGTAAGTAGAGGTATAGCTCAAGTGGTAAAGTACCAGCCTTGAGTGAAAACGTGAAGCGAGAGTTCAAGCTCCAGTATAGGTTAAAAAAAGATGTTTCAAATCTTTCTAATTTCTGCTAGCCAGAGAAAACCATGTATGGGGAGGTATTTATTTGTTTGTTTATTTGTAGAGAGCTCCATATGATTTGGTTAGGGCTACTTGGATAATCTATCTTGTGGTCAACTGAGTAGCAAATTTAATGATAACTAGTTAACACAATTATGGCAGTCATATCAAACAGAATGGAGTGGGAACAACTTAAAATTTTGCCTTCTAAAGTACCTTTAAAATATTATTGTATATATGCTCTGGGAATAACCTCATCCTGCTACTCAGCTTTATTTATTTATATACTGCTGACTTATAAATCTCTAGTCTCTGCACCGCCCTCACATCAAAACCTTTAGACTTGCATCATTGCTTCCACTGTCCACCCTATACATATCTAATGTTGGACGTTGAAAAGTGACCTCATCATTTCATCACCA